CTGGAAATGAAAGGGTCGTGGGAAGATTATCTGCCTTTGGCCGAGTTTGCATACAATAACAGTTACCAAGCTAGCATTCAGATGGCACCATATGAACTTCTTTATGGAAGAAAGTGCATGTCTCCTATTCATTGGGATGATGTTGGTGAAAGAGAACTTCTTTGACCAGAATTGATACAACAAGAAATTGATAAAATTCAATTAGTTCGGGAACGTCTTCGCACGGCACAAAATCGTCAGAAGAGTTATGGTGACCAAAGAAGAAGAGAATTGGAATTCCAGGTGAGCGATCATGTTTTCTTGAAGGTTTCGCCTACCCGAGGAGTGAAAAGATTTGGAATCCAAGGAAAGTTAAGCTCGAGATTTATCGGTCCTTTTGAAATTCTGGAACGCATTGGTCCAGTGGTGTACATATTAGCATTACGACCATCCCTATCTGGAGTTCATGATGTATTTCACATATCGATGCTGTGAAAGTTCATTCAAGATCCAAATACAATCATTGAGATGTCTCTAGTAGAGCTCAAACCAGACTTGACCTATGAGGAAAGACCAGAACGTATTGTGGATTATAAGGAACATGTGCTTAGGCGTCGAATAATCAAATATGTGAAAGTTCAATGGAAGAATCACTCTGAAAGAGAAGCCACTTGGGAGATGGAAGATTCTATGCGAGAAAGATATCCAAAACTCTTTCGAGATATAGGTATGTTAAGTTTCGAGGACGAAACTTTTTATTAGGTGGGGAGAGTGTAATAGCCCAGATAAAAAAATACATATATATATAAAATGATGAAATATACAAATAAATAAATAAATCACCTAACCAGCTATCCCGATTACAACCCCTTGGAGAGTCGTTGGCCTCCTTCTATTGGAAGCCGGGGACGGTCAAGATGAGGTGTTCGTTTTCTGTTCATCCCTAGAAACCCAACCCTATGAAATCCCTAGCAGCTCAGAACCCTTTAGCCCTCCGTCTCTCACAACTCACATTCTCTTTTAAGCCGAGAAATTAGGAGATGGAGGAATGAAACAGAGGAAAAAAATCAAAGAAAACCCACGAAAAAAAAGAAAAAAATGGAGAACACCCTCTCATCCTTAACAAAACTCTTTGAATCAATAGAAAACTTGTGAAGGGAGAAAAGAAGATTACAGCAACCAAATCAGGATCCCAATGTATAATCTCCTTTTAAATTTCTTAGTAAATCTTAGTAAATCTTCGTAAATCGAATCAAAATAGAATGAGTGAGGAAGTTAACTTGTTATGAATATGAAGTAAAAAATCTAGGGTTTGCAAAGGATTTTTTATGTGTTTAGGATGCATGAAACAAACTAAAAAAAGAAAAAGAAAATAAACTAACCTAGATCTGGCGGGTTTCTTACAGCCGGCCTCTCTTGGTCATCGGTGGTTCCTCGTCGCCGTCCTACCACCATGGCGAGAGAGCTAGAGAGAGAGACAGGCGAGAGAGAAAGAGAGAGATGCCTCTCATGTCCAACCGAAAAAAAGAAAAAAAACAAACAGAAAAAAGAGAGAAGAGGAAGAGAAAAGAGGAACGAAAAAAAAAAGAGAGAAAAAGAAATGAAGAAGGGAGGAGGAGGAAGATGATCAGGTGAAGTATTATAAAGGGAGGAAAAATTCCCTTAAACCCCTGAACCATGTAAAAATTTCAAAACAGACCTTAGTAATATAAGTTATGGTTGAAAAAGGCTTGGAAAATCTCTGTTAGGCCTCTGTCATTTACTCAGTTGCAAACAAGTCCAATCTAAAAAATAAAAGACAACTTTTAGACTTGATAAATTTCCTATAAACCCCTGCATTATCATAAATCACTAGGAAGTCTAAAAAAACTAGTATATGAGAGTTATAAAATTTTGATGAATTGCTAAAGATAGCAATAAACTCATATGTACTGCAGAATTTAATTATTATTGGTTATATTTAAATTTATTTGGCTCTAGATTTTGATTTACATATAATATATGTTTGTCCTTAATTAATAATTAGTCTTATATATTATATTATAGGATCTGATTGATATCCAGGGGAAATAATATTTTAGGGAAATCGTGTCCACTAGAGGTAAGTTCATTTCTCACTAGTATTTTATAATATAAAATTTGCTTGAGTGTTATATTTGATTTATCTTGTGATCGAAAAATAATATATCATTTTCATGTATATAAAGATTTGATTTATTTCTGTTATAGTCTATCGTATAATGATGTTAGCCTCGTACAAGGTATGAAAAGCAAATTTGATTTTTATGTAAAATATGAAAAGTGAATTTGGCTCTCATGAAATTTCAAATAATTGTAGGCACTGTTTTATCTGAAAGTTTTTGATAAAGTATTTGGAACGTATTTCAACAGTTTAACGGATTCAAAGATTTTCTATGACCTAGTATCTGATAAAAATAAAGAAAAGTGAAATCCGTAGACTGTTTTAACTGGGATGAGGAGTTTTACCCCTTGTCCAGTTCATTAAAAATATCTGTAAACTCTGATACGTAAGGTGTTACTCATTTGATAAGTGATCCTCGAAGTTTTCAAACCCTCAAAAAGTCCACTATGGAGTGATTCTGCCTGCCATATGGTGAATGCACTTTTATTTGGCCTCTCTGTATTGGCCCTTCTATATTGGCTCTTCTAAAATTCGTTCTGGCCGCTCTGTATTTGACCAGTAACCTATGGCAGTGTTAGGTGCATTCGATTTCCAGGAATTATCTGTTATGTAATATGTTTTACATATTCCCATGCTACTGGGATATAATTTGTAGCCTTAGTGTGACCTATAGGGTGACTTTTACATTCATGAATAACTCATCGAGAACTAAGATTTTAACAATTGACTGTGAAATTGAAAAATAATAATCCTCTGGTTTTGTGCAGATTAATAGTTCTTTTCTTTCTTAATGTTTACCTTGATTCAAAAAGGGTTTGATTTCAGGAAATATTTTAGTTGCACATAAGAATGAAAATATAATTGTTGCATTCTTTATTGATGATGACAATATTATGATATTTGGATCGTATTTGGCTATTTTCAATTTCGGATGTAAAACTTATAATTCGTTATTCTGAGAATTATTCTTATTCTTATTTTGTTAGTTATTTAGGAATTCTAGTGGGAAATGTTCTCACTAAGCTCTAGCTCACCCCGTCGTTTTAAATTTTTTTCAGATCCGGTGTAGCTTCATACCATTCAAGCTTTTGGTTGTGGCGTTTTGCTGAGAGGCGTTATATGAAAGCCTCCTTTTTGAATGTTACATACAGTCAAGAATGTGCTTTATTTTGTGTAATGCTTATAACGGTGAGCTCGTGGGTTATAAGTACCGATTATATGCATATATATAGTTGCTCTGAACTTCTATCATCAACAGGTTTATGAATATTTTGTGATAAACTATATGATATGAAGTGTCACGCTTGTCTTGTGCATAAGAATTGTCTTGTGCATAGGTCGCTGCTGTCACGTACCTCGTATTTTATGAATTTTCGCTGCAGTTTCGGGGCGTGACACAGACTGTATTGATAGCAGCTGTATTGATAGACAATCCGGCTGTACTGATAACTGAAAATGATATGTGTTTCAAGAATCATGCTGGGCTAGATGTCTTCATCATTCGTCTTTTTCCATAGAGGACCCTCTACAGGATCTTTTTTCATGTGACATTAGGTGAAACTATCGAAGGACTTGGACATATTACATCGAACGAGTGAAACCGTTGAATCCTATTCATTGGACGAATATTACTTTGAAACAAAATGAATCCGTTAATCACTATAACCATCTCTAAATTATTCTGTTACGGAATAAATCATGTTCGTTGGACAAATACAATTCCAAAAGAAGTTTTAGATAAGTGCGCGCGTTCATCCCTTGAGCTTTCTGTCTAATAATGATCTGGAAGTAGACAGAATCTTAGGCTGTCAAATTACCCAGTAACAATATTTATTGAAATTTTTTTTCCCACATTAATAGTACTTCCTAAAAATTACGCCTTAAGATGCTTCTAACATGTTTTCTGCCTTTATGAGCATAGAACTGCTTCTTTTTTTTCCATAAGATAGCACGTTTATGGTGGCTGTATCTTCTCTTGTCATTTCCTTGCTGATCTTATTGTTTTCTTCGTTGGCTAGCAACGCATCTTTTCTTCCCATTTCCTTCCTAATCTTGTTGTTTTTCTTCATTGGATAGCAACACCAAAGGCAAGTTCCCTTGAAGGGAAAGCACTCGGTGGACCATGTCTGACTCAGATGAGGGCCAGATTAAAAAAACAAGTTGCAGCGTTGATTGATTGTTGATGTAGTCTATTTAATTTGCCTCACTAGTGACAGACAAAGCACGTTTTGTATTCACTTCAAAACAAAACGAGGACGAACCCATTTTTTTTCTTTTTTTTTTTTTTTAGACAAAGCACGTTTTGTATTCACTTCAAAACAAAACGAGGACGAACCCTTTTTTTTCTTTTTCTTTTTTTAGGCTTACCGACGTAATCGATGTGAAAATCCAAAGACTTTGGAAGAGCAAGGGACGTGTATTTTGTGAGGACGGTACAACTCTAATTATCACCAAGAAAAATTCCTAAGGACCCAAAATATGGGACCAATAGGGGGGACAAGTGAGGGGTGACCCTCCTATTGGATAATGAGTTGGCCATCATTAATGATGGTCAACTCATTGTCCAATAGGAGGGGGACACATCACTTGTCCCCCCTATTGGTTCCATATTTTGGGTCCCTGTAGCAAAACTCTTATCACCAAACCCCAACAGCAACAGAAGTTAGAAACTGACTTAATCATGTAATCATGTGAGGACCATTGTGCATAAGCTACATAAGAGAGCTGCAGAATATATTACTGAAGTAGTAGTAGCAACCATGGAGCAATCACCAAACATGAGAAAATCCTAGATTGAGGACCAAATGTAGCAACCAGGAGTAAAGTAGGAGCAAAAGAGCTTGCTTTGCTTGCCTCCTGTTCTCCAACACAGTCAATATGAATAAAAAAAATACTGACAGCAGTCATGCTTTGTTAATGCTTTCAGTTTGAAGTTTCATAATCTAATAATGTTCAGAGTACAACAAATGTTTCCGAAGCCACTTTCAAAAGAGTTGACAAATTTTTCTCCAATTGGGGATATATTGAAGTTGGTAACAGATGATCTGATACCAATACAATAATCCATCATAAAATGGGAATTCCAACAAGAAATAGAAAACTCTAAAGTAGGATATTTTGTCCAATTATCATTTACATTCTAAGATTGATTTTCTTTCATCATCCTCAGCTGTCAAGAGCACCAAGTGCTTTCATGTCCTCCAAGAAAGCCATATAAGAGTCATCGATGCTCTGCCCTTTGGTTGCTGATGGTGCTGCCACAGCTGCCTCTGGTTTTCCCACGACCACTGGACCAGCGGAAGGCCTTGGAGCTGGTGATGCAGATGCAGATAGCTGAGGTTTTGGTTTCGTTTTCTGAACTGCTGATTCTCTCCTCACACGCACTGATGCAGGAACCTGAGATGTATCAAGGCCACAGATGACAGAAAAAAGTCAGTATCCTCAGAGATGGGATTTAATTCTATTAGTAATTATTTCAGCTAACTGATCTTATCATTCTCAAACTTCAAATTGCAATTAAATAGAGGGGTAGATTAAGGATACACCCCTGGGTTATGGGTGGTGTAAATGGCTTACATACTCACTTGGTTCACATCCCCTGAGCTACATACACTCCGTTTTCCCGTTAGGTTGAAATGTCACATGAGAATCGCGTGAGAGGAAAAAGTACTTTTTTTGCCCTTTGTTTAACAGAAAAAGACTGAATTGTTCCCTAAATTGAGGGCTAAAAGTAATTGGTCTTATCATTCTCAAACTTCAAATTGCACTAAAGTAAGGGTTATTTGCAGATACACCACCCCAGATAGAGGGTCATAGGAACTTATATCACCTAAACTATTTAATTAACGCTTCATCCATGAACCCTAGATGGTGATACTTCCCTATTAGGTTGAGATGTTACTTGAGAATTATCTGATGACTGAATTACTCTTTTTCCCTCAGTTTATTTTTTTTTATAACTATTTTGTCCTAAAGTAAGGGCAAAGTAATTCATCATCAAATCATATGATCCCCCACATGACATCTCAAAACTTAACAGAGAAATAATGATATCTGGGATTCAGGACGGTGAAAGTACTGATAAAATAGTTTTGGGGTACAAGTGGCTAGACCTCCTTATAGCCCATTAATCAAGTGAGAAAGGTAAGATAGTTATTTTAAAATTTAAATCTGTCCAACCCGTCTTATAATAAAGTTTAAATTTTCATCGCACAGGTTATGCATTCTCATGAACTAACTGCATCAACATGGGCAAGCAGCAAGTAGTTTTAGAGAAAAGTTGCACAATAGTCAACAAATGGTACAGCTAAAAAAGTACAACTTATACAAATGATAACACAAGTAAAACAATTGAGCACGAAAGAATCTCTGGTAACCGAAATTAAATAATATATAATGTGCTGTAGTCCAGCTTGCAATTTTAGCAAAGCTCTCGCTAACAAGAGAATTACTTAGGCTTAAATAGCATCCAAGACGTAGTACCAGAAAAAAAAATCCATAATCTAGACTGCCATATAAACTAGATGCAGAATATCCAGTAATAAGAAAGTTATCAAAAACAAAGCAAAAAAAATGCAAGAATAGCACTTAACTCACCATTGCCGTAAGTTCTGGCGTATGCTGTGCCAGTGGTCTCTTGACAACCGTTGATGCGGCAGACTTAACATAAGATGGCTTCTGAGGAGCAGCAGGCCTATAAGCCAGAGGATCATCCTCTGGACCAAAGGGGAGTCCTGAAGCCATTGGCATTAAACCACCCGGTGGCCCAGGAGGCCCAGCAAAATGTGGTCTTGCCATTGAAGGAGGAATCATTCCAGGAGGAGGCGGAGGAGGAAGCTGATTAGGGATCCCATGGGGAGGTGGTGGTGGTGGTGGATAACGAACCATGCCAGGTGGCAGCATGTCAGGAGGAGGTGGAGGAGCAAGGGGAAGTCTTTGTGGTGGAGGTAGCGGTGGCTGCCTTGGTGGTGGAGGTGGTGGTGGCAATGGCATTGCCTTAGAGTTGTCCTTCATGCCTGAACTAGTGTTGAAGTTGGCTACGGGAGGAATGGCTTCAGAGTGATCGTCTGTTGGTTTTGATGCCAATCCAGGAGGCGGTGGAGGAGGGAAGGGACCATTTGCCTGCATAAGAAAGTCATCTTTTGGGTCATAAAGCAGATTTTAGTAGTTCAGGCAGGTGATGGCAAAGATAGTGGAGTATGATCTAAAGCTGCAGTTATGTTGCCAAATTATCAAGTTTGTCTCTACTCCATAATTATTTACAAAACTGTCGTGTTTAACACTAATAAAATAATCATATGGCACTTCCAACTCTCTATTTGTAGAAGGTGATGAAGGTTCTTGACCATGATCTAAAGCTTCTATTACAAATTGACATATTTATTACCAACTCTATGACTCTTTTAACTCTTCCAACTTTTGAATGATTTAAAAACATCAGAATTGTTATGACACTTAAAATTTTCATTATAATGTACCTAACATCATCTTCTTTCTCAATCGCTGAGTTTCATAATCCAATGAACATTTAGAACAGAAGTTAAGAAAAGAGTGAGGTTGCATGTGGTTTAATTTCTTTCTTCTCAAATGGTTGGGGTGCAAAAATGCTCTCATACTATACCAAGTAAGGAATGGCAGAGCTATTACCTATAACTGGAAAAAAATATCAAACTCCAGTATTTTTCAGATCCCTAATTGATTTTTAAGGGGAAAAAGTTAAGTTCAAATTGTTAACTAAGTTCTTTCCATAGTTCTCAATAAGTTAGAAAAGCACTGTGCAAATACATAGAAGGTAGAAAATCCACATATCAAAGTAATTATGGTATAATCTAGTAACCCCGATTCTTGCATGTGTGCACGTAACAGCCTCGTGATTTATCTTCACACAATGAACAACCAAGAAAACTCATAACAATAGCAATTAAAAACAAAAGATTATCGTTAATAATTACCTTCTGAGACTCTTTCGAATGCATGCTATCAACAGCTGCATTTCTATTTTCCTCTGTTTCTTTTACAGAGGTCCCTGGTGGAGCAGGTTGTGTAGGACGTTGAGGAGGTGGAGGTGGTGGAGGAAGTGACATGTGGCCTGAAACTGGACCAGTAGGAGGCCCTGGTGGCGGTGGTGGACGTGGAGGCGGGGGCAATGGAGCACTTGGATTAACAACCGGTTTAGGGGGAGCTGGAGGAGGTAAAGGAATTGGTGGAGGTGCTACACTTGGATCGTCAACCGAAATTGATTCACCAGAACCTGGTAACGGTGGTGGTGGAGGGGGAGGTGGCATAGCCAGAGAGCCATCTTCTAGCTCAGATGTTGAAGAAGATGCTCCAGGATCTGAAGACAGTGGGATTCTTGGCCCTACAGAAGAAACAGGAATTAGTACATATGATAGACATTTTCTGGTAATGAAGAAAAAGACGCGTCGACTGGACTATGACCTATTGAAGATTTATACATTGGAGGTTTTCCAGGAGGTGGTGCTCCAGTTGGATTTAGCGTAGGATGGTAGTACACAGAATCCTGCATCCATGAACCAATTAGCATTTCATGGTGACATAGGTGAGCAAGCAGTTAGGATTAGAGACAGATACCTCAGGCTTTGGGTGTTTAACTCTATCCTCTTCCTCTGGGCGCCTCTTGGGAGGGCCTAAGTGGCTGACGAAAAGAATAGCATGTAATATGACAAAGGAAAGAAGATGCTGAATTAACAAAGGGGGGAAAATGAACATAACTGACCTGAACATCACCGGTGCCTCACCCTTATCACGCATTTTCTCCTCATACTCCTGCTCAGAAACTAAACATGAAAGACAATTTCCAAGAGAAATTCTACAGATTAATGCAAAGCCGTAAAGCATCAATATTGATATGAATCTTAAAGTCCATGATTGCTTTTGTAACCAAAAAAATTACAACATTAAACCTGTGATTTGCTCAAGAAGCAGCTTACACACATAAGATGACCTGTATATTTTCTAAAAATGGGATAAAATATTAAGATGCCTTGAAAAACATGATCTACAAAAATGATAAGTATATATGGGCCCGTCCATTTTAATTGTGTGGAACAAATCAATTTCTTTATATCTAAGGTATAAAGATGCCTGCAAATAGAACTCCAATTTGACAATTTAACATATAATGTTAGCATAGACTTATGTTGTGTTTAGATGGAAGGTAGAAAAGGACAGGGGAAGAGAAATTTGATTTTAACCTTGTTTGGGAGCAATGTTTTAAATATTGGCCGATAAACAGATACTATTGGCGATTTACCAGTTTTGGGGGCCTTTCGTTATGAAAAGTTTGATTCTAAATCGGTTATCCTTTTTGGATGTTTATCGCCAATAATACGGCGATAAAGTGAATTATCGGCTTGTCAGTTCAAAAATCGGAATTATAGACCTTTGGTTTGAGTTTTGATTTCATGCAACGAGCACCTATTCAATGCACTTTAAACCTGACCCAACTCGAGTTTCTACCATTCATTAGTGATCCTAAACATAATTATTTACGTTTGGTATGTTTATATTTCATTAAGTATGATTAGATTGCATTTTAGAATATTATATTATGTATATTGCCATCTGAAAATGTCACTCCAATAAATACTACTTACCCCTGATATATCCCAATATCCGCTATCCGACATGGATTTTGAGCGTCCGATAAATCTCCTATAATCGATATTTAAAACATTATTTGGGAGTTTTATTGTGAGGGTAGAGATGGGAAAGGAAGAAGTTTTCATAAAAAACTGGGAGAAGATGTTCTGCCCTAAATAGAGCGTTAGAAGAGGGGAAGTAAAAACGAGATTTTTTTTTGATATATTGAGATGATTTTGCCCTCCATCCAAATAAATCAATGACCATGATTTAATCACAAACCCAACTCAGCCTCATACATCCGCTTCACTTTCCTCTTTTTTCTTTTTCTTTTTTTTCATCCGCCACTGCTTTTTGCACTTTCTCTCCACTCCTCGCTCTCCCCCTCCACCCTCCCCCCATTTCTTCCCCCATTCAGCGCCTACTTCGGCTCCACCGTCTCCTCCAGCTTCATCATCTAGTCCCGTTGTCTCCGGCCGCTTTAGTTTTTTATTATTTCTGTTTTTATTTTTTATTTATGTATTTTCACCTTTTCTCGTGTTCTCACCTACATTATCACGGTAGCTTGTAGTAGATGCGTCGATCTATGTATAGTTCCCCTTGTTTTTGATGTATTAATGAGAGTTTTTTTCCGTTAATTGGAAGCTCCATCCCGAAACAATAAGTTAGATCTTTTCCTTTTATATTTGCTTAAGATCAGAAATTTTGAAGGGAAAATGTGCTGAGGTTTTGAATTCAAATTTTAAGGCTTTTCAATATTTTCATATCGAATGGTCTTCACATAATATGGTAGAAATTTGAGATTGCCGGCGTGAAAATTAATCATTTCTTTGAAGCCCCATTAATTGGTTACGCAAGGTTTAGAGCCTTAATTATTGAACCACAATTATGTAACTTTAATCCAAGTATATAACATATAATTAGAGTCCAGAGAGAATAACCATAGGAGGTATTAGATAGACCTCAATACTATTTCATTAGGCACCTAATCCTCACCAGCATCTCAATCATGATAGACCTTTTAGGTTCACAGAAATATTTTTTTAAATTTGCAATACTTATTTGTTCTGCTACAAATCTTATCCTTTTGTATGGGCCATTTATTACAATTATAGTTATAAAGAAGACAAAACAATGTAACTATGCATTTGTTCTACATTGCGGCTAAAAAATAAATCCAAAATGTTTAGATTCTTGATTTGAAAAGGATCCAAGAGAACTCATATGCATCTCCTTAAGTTTACAGTAGTAGTTTTGTGAAACTTAGAATATTAATCTAAAAGATATGAATAAAATCCTAACTAGGAATATGGCAATGGTTAAGAATGGCAAAATCAATTGCATGATAAGTTATTAGTTTAATAGTTTACTAGGGCCAACTTCCATACCTTCTCTCTTTGTGTACTGTAATAAAAGCTTATAAATTTGTCATTAGTTTCTAATTAATTAATAATTCTTAATTTTCTATCTTAATTGTATTATTTTCATATCCTCAGATAGATAATGGATGACGCATGGATCAAATTTCAACATGCATGTAATTGTGCAATTGAATATGTTCTTTTTGTGATTGCTTATTGGTTCATACAACAACGACAAAATATAAGAAGATTAAATAGTAAACCCTAAGAGCCCAGAGAAATAACAGATGGTGCGAAAAATATAGATATCGAAAAATATTATCACAAAGAGTTGCATGGAGGGAAATGATCCAAATGAATCCACTGACTTTTCATCAATTATGTGGAATATTAGAAAGAGACTGCAGGCTTAAATGAACTCAAAAAGTTACTATTAAGGAACAAGTGGCAAATTTTTTGTATATGTTGGGACACAATGTAACAATTCATGAGATTAGTAAGATATTTAGTCGATCTGGAGAGTGTGCGCGTTGTAATTTTCATAATCATAATGTTCTAAGAGCTATGATAGGGTTGGAAAAAAAATATTTTTAGTACAACTCGATGGATCACTAATTCCTTCAGAGATACACAGCAATCCAAAGTTTGATGTATATTTCAAGGTGATGATAAATTCCACTTCTTATCTTCGTGTAGGTTGTTAAAATTAGACTTTAACTGATTAATCCTTATAATATCAGGATTGTATTGGGGTAATAGATGGAACACACATCTGAGTAAAGGTTTCTCCTATTGACGCTCCTAAATATCGTGGTAGGAAAGACCACCTGACACAAAATGTATTAATTGCTTGTACCTTTGACTTGAAATTCACCTGTCTTACCTGGGTGAGAAGGCACTACATCTGACTCCAAAATTTTAAAAAAAATGCTTAACGACGAAGATTTCCACTTAAAGTCTCTCAAGGTAATTATTAGTTTTAAATAAGCTACTAATGACAATGAAATTTTTTTCACGATATGTTACTAATGACAATGAAACTTTTTTTAAGAAAATATTATCTCGCTGATGGCGGATACATATTAAAAGCTGGAATAGTTCCACCCTATAAAGGGGAACGTTGTCATTTGAATGAGTATTCAAGAAATCCACCAAGGACTCAACGTGAGTTATTTAACCTAAGACACGCATCACTCCACAATACTATTGAAAGAGCATTTGGAGTATTAAAAATAAGATTTCCCATAGCGAGCTCAACTGAACCGAATTATGGTGTTAAAACACAAAATCAAATCATTCTAGCTTGTTGTATTTGCAAATTTTTAAGGGTACTGACCCAGACGAAGATTTTCCTAAAGGGGAAGAAGGTAATAATGAAAACCCATCGGATGAAGATGATGCGAATGATGATGAAGATGTTCATAGAGGGCAGTGTTTAAGAGATTTCATTGCAGCTTGTATGGGGCAAGATTATAATGCATGAATACTGTAATAGATATTTTGTATTGTGGTCTCCATTTGTCTTGAACTTAATAAATGTCAGATTAATGCTTTCTATTTGTGTTGTGTTTGATGATTATAAGACTAATGTTCTCTATTTATATTGTACTTGATGAATTGTAAGATTAATTTCCTTTAATACTTTACTTTTTGTTGCATGACTGAATTTATTTGTGTTTCATAATAATAGTAATCTATCATTTAAATTATTTTCATAGATATGTGAATGATTTTCTTGTATATTTGCTAACATCATTGTCTAAAATAGGAATGTTCTTGTATATTTTCTAACATTGTAGTGTAAATTAGGAATGCCAAAAATGAGGTCTATGGATGGTGATTCTTCTAGGGGAAGAAATCAGATCTCTTTAGTATAGTATTCTGTTATCGACGAGAAGTTAATTGAAGCTCTTTTGCATCAAGATGTGATTTGAAACAAATCAATATTGTGTTTACACTAACGGCTTATAGTCAAATAGTGGCTGAACTCCAAGAGATATTTCCCGATAAGCTAATTGACAAGGATAAAGTAAAAAATCATGTAAAGTATATAAAGTAAAAATAGGTGGCTTGTTATGACTTGTTTAAGAATGTGATTAGCGGCTTTGCTTGGAACCGGAACACCAATATGTGGATTGCAGAATCTGAAGTATAGGATCAATGTTAACATTTATTTCTTGGGTCGATATGACAATATCTTTGTTTGGGAATGGTTTTCCTTGGTTTTAGGAATAGTAATATTCATCTCTCGGCATCAATGTTACTTTTAATCTTCATTTATACCCTAATAATTGCACTCGACTTTGTCACGGCTCAAACATTACAAAGTAGAAATCTTTTAAATTTCAAACAAACTACCACTAACAAATCTAGATCTGTGATTGCCTTTAGACAACTCCAATAAACTCTCAACTTTGCATGGTAAGGCTCTTGTTTCGTTCATATTCTGTGACTTGCAATCATCTTTTGCGTGTACTAAACAAAACAATGCATTACATGGGTTCCAATTGAAACTGCAGATTATTTGGTGTATTGCACTATAAGCTAAAACACTAAAAATAGAGATTCAGCCGCTGAAAATAGTGAAAACAAAGTTTTGGCCATGGCTGAAACTCTGTTTTCAGTGTTTCAATCTCGTCGAAACTGCGGTTGAGATAAGAGAGAGAAGGCGGGGCTTTTACTAAAATTAACGAGGTTGATCTTGCAATTGATGGCATTGATAAAATGGTTGCTAGGGAGGAAATTCTCTTGGAGAGTTTTGATGGTAACCAAGAAGCAATTGAAAAAGAAGATGGACAGGCTACTAAGGAGACTAGGTGAACAGCAAATTTATTATTGAAGAGCAGGAAGTTAAAGGTTGGTGCTGAAAAAATTTATAATGGCATAGGAAAAGTGGGTAAGGCGATGCTTGGAAGTGTTGAGATATTCAACAAGGTTAAGGAAAAGACCATAATGAAAGTGCATGATCTTTGGAGTCTTTTGGTTAAGATTGGGGTCAAGGACGAGCACATTGATGATGCATATACATTCTTACTTAATTCTCCAGAGAATCTAAGGGGAGTACCTGGATGTCCAAGGGATAGACAGAAGTAAATTCTCATGATGATGCATAGGGCATCTATTCCACCCCCGCCCCATTATTAGCTTGCTACTCTTATTTTTAGTATTGCAGTTTATGACTCTTTTTTTAAGTTGTCTAAACTTTTGGTGGATGCTTTTAGGTATTTGGTGGTAATTGTAAAATTGTCACATTTTGGTTATGTATGGCAATAGTAAACTTGGTTTGCCGAATTATGGATGCTTATGGCAAACTTGGTTGCAACATTAGTGGTTGACTTTTTTTAAATACGTGGCAAAATTGGTTGGAAAATTGGTGTTTCATGTTTTCATAAGATACATTGTGTTTTTCATTAATTTATATATTGTGTGTATTGTTTTGATAAAATCTTGTGTTATTTTGATAAGCTTATGTTATATTATGTTGATAAATTTATGTTAAATTATGTTTCCTAAGCTAGCTAATGTTTTATGTAATAAATTGTTTCATTCAAAGTCTATAGATGTTGATTTGTTTTAAAAGCAAGTTCTCATAAGCTTATACATTGGGAATATGTAATGCATTAATAATAATAATAACAACAACAACAACAATAATAATAGACAATCAATTTCTAAGTGTGATACTTTTATCTTCTTTTTTGTCATTTATTAGTTGGCAAAATGTTTTAATAGTATGTAAGGTCATTTGTGTAAATTTACATATATTTTCTTCCCTTCCATTCCCCCTATCAGAACTCCCAAACAAAGTTGAATTAAGTTCTCCTTCGTTCCCCTTACTAAACTCCCAAACATATTACAATTCCCCTTGCCTTCTCCTCCTTCCCTTCCCTCAATGAACTCCCAAATATAGCATTAGAGTAAAGCCATCATCCATTACAGCAGAATCTTATCAACCAACTAATTAAAAGTTACAAGCACCATATGCATGTAAGTGCACATGTGGCAATGCGTTTTTCTCTTTTAATGTTTCTCTTGTCAGCCTCTCTGCTCTGTCATTACCAAGACGGAAACATCCTAACATATAATTTCCTATAGTAAAATAGAAAGGGTGAGAGATTGCTGGGTGCGTGGGGTCGTTTTGTGCGTTTGTGTGGGTGGGTTAGGGAGGGGGTAAAGGAAGAAACTACGAAGATGGTTAAAAAAGGAATTCTCCCATACTAATTGGGTTCTAAGTTCTAACTAAATAAAAATTCCAACCTTAATGTGAAAAGTTAACTGAACATTCAATGATAGATTTATAAGAGAAGAACAATGCTTAGATCATAGAGAATAAGAGCATTTTTTCCTATTATTTTTTTGGTGTGTTGTGGGTCGGTTGGCTGTTTTTTGTGGGGGTGCACCCAAAAACAATCAGTCCCACCAAAATGTTCAACATCCCTTAAAACTTCAAGAAGAAAGCTGAAGAAATAAACTAACTGTGGATTGTTGAGATGCAGAACGTTTATCCACATTGGATAAAGTTATTGTTCCTTAAAATGCGAAAGAAACTGAAGTGGTTTAAGTAGAAAAAAATTAGGATATTCATTAACTATGATTTAGTCGGCAAGAACCAAATTTCAGATAATAAAATTGGACATCTTAATTGATACATGCAAGAACGATAAACCTTTATACATTGAAAATATTTTTGGGTCCAATAATAATAATAATAATGCAAACAGAGAAATGTTATTCACAAGACACTTATTTTGATGCTTGAATAGAGAAAGGCCATCAACATGGCAGAAGACAATATGTATCGCAATTATTAAATAACACTAACCTTTCTTTTCTTCATAACTAGATTTAATGTATCCTCAAGCTGCCTTTTCTTATGTTTTCTCGCCTTGTCAAGAGCACCATCTGCTTCTGCACAAAACAATGACACCTATTAACGATTTCAATACAGCATTATCCACTAACATGCGTGACGATTAAATTATCAGAAAGGAAACGAGTGATCAATTAGATAACGGCACCAAGAAAATTGTACAAATAAACTATATTGCCTTTGGATCTCCTTATGGTTTTCAGAATATCAAAACTATCTTTGCTAACTCAACCATTCTTAGAAGTTCAAATAAAATTCTATCACCTAAGAAGTTATATAATTTGCACATACAATTCACATTTTCTCAAGTGAGATTGCATTGAAACAAAGAAAGAACTAACTTTAGTTAGACTTAGTTCCACAAACAGGTTAGGGCAAGTGCTCTAAGCTTGATGCTCTCACAATCTGCATGGGTTAGTCAGATGCAAAATTTAGACGTCGAATAATTGATCAAAAATTAAACCAAACATGAAAATTAAACACATGTATTTAATATATCAACTATATACAAAAGCAGTCAGGTCTATACCAGCCGACCATAGCACTGAAGAAGTAAACTCCCTGTCTCCTAAAATACTTGAGCAGAACAGGAAATAAACTTAATTTTTTTGGTTAGCATAGTTAGTATAGTTCACTAATGATCATTGCAGTTACAACTGTTACAACAACCAAGTGAATGACAACAAAAAAATTTTCATAAGTTTCAAATCAGAGAAAGAATCAACCAACACTTAAAAACAACGATGACAGATAGTGGTAGCTAAAAGAGTGAACGGCTTACTCATCATCTCTAACTTCTCAATCTGCTCCTTGATGGTCTCAGGGTCCTTTTTCAGAATCCCGACCTCTCTCACCTTTTTGCGTTCCTTTTTGTTCTGGAAAAAAAATTGTTTATGAAAACACTTCAAAACTTTAACATAATCAACTATGCTCAACTCAAAGTTGTACAATTACAAAAAACATGTGGGTTTAGCCAGCAGAACCTAAAGTTGCAATAATCAGATGAACAATTCTCACCATCAAATTACTCAAAACATAAAATAGTAGAATCACCACTAAGAAAAGTTAAAACATTAACCAAGTTGTCAACAATTAATACTTAACTTCATAATTGAAACCATAATGTTCCACAACAGCAAAACAATGACACATATAAGATAAAACAATCAACAACATGAGTCACCTCTTGAGCACAGATCACAACTCAAATTCACCAAGCCGCAGCATATGTAACTACTAGCAAATCATTACATATTTTGCAGAACAAAAGAAACCATGGGGAAGCTTATTGAGTACGCATTTTCACATACTTAATATAATATCTATATAACAGTGGGAAAAGGTATATTAAAGTACCCCCATGTACAAACTTTGTGGGCGTTGAAATTGAATAGGCATTCTATGATAATATTCCATATTTTCACTAGTTCCTGAATCTAAAGTAGTCCTAAGAATATCTTGCCTACCAATATGAACCACACTAATGCTTCTTGCAAAACATATTACTAATTCTTACAATTATGTCTTTTCAATTATATTACATTAATTCTATGGCGCAAAAGGACAATTTAATCCTAATCCTACTCTCATATAAAATTAAAAAAAATGAACTTTTATCCCTCGCTCTTTTATAACCCACTGGCCTATACCTATCTTTATCGACATCCAAGGGCCAGCATTTCTGGTTCCCGCACCAACCCTTGCTTACTTGACCATTTTATGGTACCCTGGGTAGATTCACTGCAATGAACAAGGTGGAAAGTCACCCTAGAATACCGCAGTATGGGACACTTAAAAGAGTGAATTGAAGCAATATATCATGATGACAGCCTGCATTCTTATATGGAAAGCTGACTATGTTTTGTGGAGGCAATCCCTTTAAAAAACTTCTTTACCCTAGCTTCATTCATATTTACCCTGGTTTAATTAAATAAGAACAGCATTTGACATTGCACCAGATATATGTTATTCATTACATAAAGATTACAATATGTGATTTAAAACACCATTAAACATTATGAAATCTTACGAGGAGCTACATTTAGAATTCTACACGAAACACTAGATTGCAAAAGAAAGTAGATCATATGAGAAAATCATCCTCTTTCACAATGTCAACAAACTTGTGTGTGGCAAAATGGATATGATCAATCAGACAATTTTTTACTGTCTTATTTGCCTTTTATATCTCCTCTTTCCATTCGCCCTGATTATCTTCTACTACTTCTCTTGATATTTTTCCTCTTTTTCTTCTTCTCTTTATGCTTTTACCTTCTGCTAAACGGATGTGGCTGCCTACACTGTGCCTCGGCTTCAAACTCACTTCCACCCAGAAAGGGCCTCTTCTGTCATATTTATTTATTTATTACTATCATTTTAGCAAAAATGGACATATACCACCCTAATTTTTAGCTTGAAACACGGCTAAAAAGATCACATTTGAAAGAAATAAAAAGAAAACAATCAACATTAACAATTAACTTTTCAGCAAAGTGGTAAAAATATGATGTTGCAGACTTACAGCTTCAAATGGAGGAAAGAAAATGCTCATTAGAAGATATTTGAGGGAAAAAAATTAAAAAGTACACATAGAAGGACCTTTTTGCGCCCCATGTCCCTCCCGTGTGGCGAATCATTACCGCAAGGCATAGAGGGGGAGGCAAAACAAAAGAAAACAGCTATGGGAACCGAATTCTATGTCACTCATAGAAGGATAAAAAAATATTAGAGTTAATTAAATTTTCAATATTTACAATCAAAACCCAAAAATAAAAGGTTATTGACCATTCATGAGATAAGGATACTTAATTCTCGTCCATGGATATTAAATTCTTAACTGAAACATTGCACTTCTGCAAATTAAATAATCCCATGGGAAGGGCTGCCAATGGGTTCTTACGACTGAGAAAAGTGAAAACTTTCTCGATCATTCATTCATATGAAAAAATGCACAAGACCTACAAGAACTCACACGTAAGAGCTAGCTATTGGAAGATGAGAACCCAAACCTCTTATACACCAAGAATTGACTCCTTAATGTGGGACTACTCAGACTCTAGCATATCACATTACCGCAGTCCTAGGGCTAACATCGACTGATTACTCGGTAATCTAGTCTTGGTCAAATGCTGCAATTCCGGTCTCATCTTTTTGACTTCGCAGTAGGGGTAGTCTTGGGGAACACACTTGGGGAACACACTGCAGCACCAGACTTGCCATTGCACGCTCGCTTGCAACTAGGAAGGTGGGGTTGACTCTAATATCATTTGTAAGAGACCTAGGATCAATCAACCCTGAAAAGCTAAGGGAACCATATCTCTTATAAAGCCACAATTTATTTCCCTGGAACTAAATGAAACCTGACACTGCCACCGGAGAAAAATCAAAACTTTCTTCATTTTTCATATGAAAAACAAACAGTTAGTTCCTGTGACCTCCATTGCGACAAAATTAGCATTTCTAAGTCAGTTAGCGACAAACAGCCAACAGGGATTTTAGAGTTTTATTTGGTCCTTTGAAATTGACTCGACCTCTCAGATAACAAAACATTTAAAATTCAACCGAAAGCAGTTCAAAACCAAATGGATAGAGAAAGGATAGAGGAACTTCATAACGTCAAAAATAAAATCTCTGCAAGCCTATTTAAAAAACAAATAACCATCAGGCTTTTTAGGGTTTTATCTGACCTATTAATTGTACATGTCATATTCTAAAATATTCAACAGAAAAACAACTATTGAATTCAATTGAAAAATAAGAATCAGCTACTCCTCTTCAAATACATTTCACTCCTCCAAACTCCATTCATATTAAAATTCAAAATTTTCCATCATTGACATGAAATAATATATCCCCAAGCCAATTTAAGCACGCACATTCAAAAGGGTTTTCAGGGTTTCATCTAACCTTTCAATTAATCTTACAGCTTCTAAAACATTCAATTAGTTCATCATTCACATGAAATGATATCTCCCCAAGCCAATCTAAGCACATATAGCCAAAAGGGTTTTTAGGGTTTCATCTAGACTTTCAATTGGACCCTACAGATTCCAAGACATTCAGTTAAAAAATCAAAAATTGAATCCAATTGAAGCAAAATGCAAATTCAAAATTGGGAAGGGAAACCCTAGCTAGGGTTTAGAAGGGCGTACCCTCTTGAGCTCCTTCTTGCGGAGCTCCTTCCGATAGGCGTCGGTGGGGTTCATTACTTTCCCTCCCTTCGTCGTCTTCATCTCTTCGATCGATTGAAATCTCAGCAGAGAACTCGGAAATCTCTCCTCCCCTTTTATCTCTTAGCTTCAACTTTTACTTTCCCCCCTTTCTCCGGTGTTTATTATCGGGGGCGTTCTGTTTTTTTTCCTTTAGTAATGTAATTTTCCTATAAACCCCTCAACATTTTTGACCGACTTCCAAAATAAGGACAAATTTTCAAAACCAACGCATTTGAGTTTTTATTTGCAAAAAACGACCCGTTTCTAGGATATTTGCAAAAACCGACCTGGTTTCAGCATCAGCGCTGAAACCAGGTCGGTTTTTGAAAAAAAAAATTCGAAACTTCACGGGAGTTGAACTCCCGTGAAGTTTAGCAGTTTTTAATTAATCTACTAAACTTCACGGGAGTTCAACTCCCGTGAAGTTTCGAATTTTTTTTTTCAAAAACCGACCTGGTTTCAGCGCTAAGGCTGAAACCAGGTCGGTTTTTGTAATTATGTTTGAATAAGATCGTTTTTTGGGATTAAATTCACAAATGGGTCTCTTTTAAAAATTTGTCCATACAATATGTAAGCTTCTTCTTTTTTTTTATCCTCGAGGAAAAATAAAGAAAGGCTACCCTTTTTGGTGAAACATCTTAACCCATAAGATCTTATACACTCCGAGCTAGTTCTTGTGTGTAGAAGCAAGGACGGAAAGAATATGTCCAAAGAAGATGTAGTTAGCTAGCTCCCTTGCATGCTTTCAAGTGAAAGTAAAGAAACCAAAATCAATGAAGGTTGTCATGACTTTTCTTCTTGTATCATGACATCTCTATAGTGGAGAAACATTTACTCGATCATAAGAATATATTATTTAATGTATGATTGTGATTAGTACAATTCATAGATATATGATTATTTTAAATAATACGGGAGGTAAAATTATAGCACTCAACTCTCACTATAAGTTTTGAGTTTTGGTGAAGTAAAAGAAATTTTAAAAATCTAGATTTTAAGTTCCATCAGCCATGCATTAAAATTGTATTTAAAAGAGTCATTACAACACAAGTCCACGTTTCGACTCTGCCGAGACCCGCTAATTATAGTATAAAATTATAACATTCAATCCTCATGACGTATAACCCCGTAGTTTTCATGTAAAGGGACATGAAGGGGGAAAAAAACTATTTCCTCACTGCAAAAGCATTGTTTATAACTTGTGTATATACGCATGCTTCGCTTCTGCCTCTCCCTTTCAAACGCAGGTGGTCCATTATAGCTGCTCAACTCCCAGGCAGAACAGACAACGACATCAAGAACTACTGGAACACAAAGCTGAAGAAGAAGCTACTAGGGATTAATTCTCAAAGAAAATCAACAGCAACAGCAAATCATCATCAGCAACAGCATCAGAGTCAATACCAACAGCCTCAGCTCTTGTCAGGCCTTGACAGTAGCTGTTTGCCTACAGTAGCAACACCCTCTCAAGATCTCTTCATCTCTAGTTTCCTCAACAATCAGTATGATCAGATGAGCTTTGGGCGTGTTGAGCGGAGCTGCAGCTCTTCTGACCTTATCTTCGAAAGCTATCTGTATGGTGAACTTGGGCAAGCTCCTCCGTTAGAGCATAGCTATGAAGAAATCAAGAACTTGATTAATACTAGAAACTTCACGGGAGTTGAACTCCCGTGAAGTTTAGCAGTTTTTAATTAATCTACTAAACTTCACGGGAGTTCAACTCCCGTGAAGTTTCTTAGTTCAAAAATAAATTTTTTGAATTGTGAAACTTCACGGGAGTTGAACTCCCGTGAACTTTAGCAGCTTAATTAAAAGCTGGTAAACTTCACGGGAGTTCAACTCCCGTGAAGTTTCAAATTTTTTTAAAAAACCGACCTGGTTTTGGCGCAGAGGCTGAAACCAAGTCGGTTTTTGCAAATTTGTTTGAATGGGGTCGTTTTTTGACAATTAATTCCTAAATGGGTTGGTTTTGAAAATTTTTCCTCCAAAATAATTATCATTTGCGATCTAGTTTCAGCCACGTCAGCTGAAACTAGGTTGATTTAAATAAAAAATTTCATAAACTTTATAAGATTGCCAATCCCGTAAAGTTTAATTACTCAATTTAACTTCATAGTATTTCCAATCCCATGTAATTTAACTCAAATAAACTAGCATAGACTTTCTTCAGATATATAAGTAGGCTTAGTTACCTACTAAGCTACACGGGACTAGGAATCTCATGTATTACTACACAATTAAAGTATACGGGATCCATAACACCGTATACTTTCTACCCTTATATTTTAAAATCGACCTAGTTTCATCTAACATGATTAAAACTACAACGAGAATGATAAATATTTTGGTAACAAGTCAAAAATGATAATCACTTTTGTGAAATGGTCTATTTTAAGATATTCTCCTTCATTTTTAAAAAACTTATAAGATTCAAGGGACTAATTTCAAAATATGAAGATTTAGAGGACTAATTTCAACATGCTTAATGATTTGGGGCACTAATTGCAAAATATAAAGATTTGAAGAATTGTGATCAACATATGAAAGATTTGAGGGACTAATATTGAAAAGCTCCATCCATGGAATATCTAAATCTAGATAGAAATAAGGCCTTTTACACGTTTTTGTAATAATAGTATATTGCATGCGCGGTTGCACGTGACCGGATTAATTTTATGTTTAGCTTCTCTTGTGTAATAAGTTTGGTTTTAGATGTAATTTAAGGATTTATTTTGTTATTTTATAATCATTAAAATTCTAGAGTAAATATAATCTTTGTGAAATTTCAAGGTTCTTTTTGTAAATTTTATGGCATGTTTGTAAAATTAAAGGTTTACTCCATAATATATATATTTTTTAATTTTAGTTTTATGAAACTGGATCTTTCCAATAAAACTTATGGAATACCTGAAATACATTATTCAATTTGTAAACCTAAAAAGCATAATTATATTTATTTTATAATTTTAATATAATGTTTGACATTTATAATTTTAGCAGATTCTGTGGTTTTTTTATTCCAATATCGTAATATAGTTATACCATTAGGAAGGATAAATAACATACTAATTGTAAAATAATAATTTAAATATTTTGTATTAATATGAAAAAAATTAGTTCTATAACAACTAAGAACATACTCCACAGAGCTAAAAAATTAACTAAAATCTATAAAATCCTCTAAAAAGACTTAAACAGAGCTTCTTCAATTGTTAAGAACAAACATCATAAAAAAAAGGTTATGGGATCTTACAGTAATGTGTATCATTATTTTGCTCTAATAATATTTTTAAGTTGAACCTACAAATTTCAATCAAATAAAAGCTTTTGTGAAGGCTAATGTTGATGCCTGAGGGTTTAACAACAGAGTTTAGGATCAACAACGAAGATGTTGGGGTTCCCTTCATCTGTTCTAGTGGCTGATTCCCTGGTAGGATGAGACTCTTGCAAAACTACAATACATTAGAGGACCAGAGTTGGGTTCTCTGGTGATCCCTCCAATGGTCAAGTCAGTGTTTAGTTTGAGTGGAGAAGATGATGAATGAACTAAACAAGTTTTAAGCGTGCAGAAAATTGCGTTGTTCAGCAATAAATTGTTCTCTTTAGCCAGAGATGGCTCACTTGGATAGGAGGCAATGGGCCTATATATACCCAGTTGAGAAGGATGAATATGTAATTTCAGCCGAGTCTAAACAGGCAGATGAGTTGGCAGATAATCTACAAGTGTTGGCTACAGGTAAGATGAGTCACTTCTGAGTTTGATATGATGGCGATTAAGAAGGCATGTTGTTGACGGAGAAATGATGATGTTGACCAATGCTGATGGGATGGAGACCAGTTATCAGCGAGGATTTCGAGGTAAACTACCTTCTGACTCGGCTATGCGAGTGGGCCGACAAAGGACACCTTTCAACTCGGCCTTACAAGCAGGCCAATAAGTAACACCTTTCTAGTCGAACTCGAGAGTTGTCGACCCAGTAGAGTAAAGGAGTATGGGCGACTCTAATGGCTGGATCGAAATGCTCTAGGCTTAGCTCTTGCTATTAAGGATCGCTTCGACGATTGGATGGACTTGCTGCCTAGGGTCAAGTCGAGATAATGCCCTAATAATCTGGGACACGTGTCGACTCTATTGGGAGGTTTAGCACTTAGGTTATATGATAACATAACAGCAAGATTTTGCAACTCAGTACATGATTTTTTAAGAAACCATCATGATGCGTATGACCAAAGTATATCCTCAGTTTAAAGTTAATTTCGACAATAGCAGACTGATATATTATTTGATGTTGTTAAAATTTTTAATCTTTTTCCTTTGGTATGCTTAAAAATATAGACTGCTATCTACGTATTATGCTGGTGCTAAAGATCTTTGCATATACATACTAAGAACAAAACATGAAAGCCTCAAACTCATTTATATGAATACGGAGAACTGATCTTTATTTCTTCTTCAAGTATTCATTTTACTTGATCAGTTGGAAGTGAAGTAGCTTAATGTGTCATTTTTAGAATTTAGTCTTAAGACCACGAGCTCTAAATAATACATACATGTCTCACTCCATATTTAGGTTATTTCTCAATCTTACTTTATCAGTGTTAATAATGAAGTAGAAAAGTACACTTAAAAGAGGATTCACAGAAAATTTTCAACAAGTTAGTTGTGATTTATAGTGACTTAGTAGAAAGATAAACAATTGAAACATTTTCTATAATTATGGCAATGATCTTTAGTGAGAATTAAGAAAGAGAGAGTAGTAAATTAATTTGTTATTGAGAGGTTATAAAACATATTATTATTAGTGACGGAGATTAATGGATAAAATTAAGGATGAGGAGAGGTTATGAGTGAGAGATTAAATAGAAAATTTATAGATAATTAATGCAAAGGATATGAATATGAGGAGGTTATAAGTGAGAGGTTATTATTTTTATTTTTATGTCCAACTCTTATTACCCGTTTGCATCATCCTAAGTTAACTTGAAAATAAAATATTAATTTTCTTACTTCAAATATTTTAAGTGAAACATATTTTGTTAAATTATGGATTTCATACTTGATTGGGTTTTTCGCTTCTCAAAATAAAAAATCAAATACAAACTTTAAAAATCTTGATTCCGCAGGCGTGAGGATGTAGAAACGGCGAAAACATTAGAGAAGAACAGGATTTTTGGAGCAGGCAGAGCTTTGGGTGCTTTATGGTCGACCGCGAGCTTTGGGGCGGTCGACCGAAAATGTGCACAGCCTCAGGGAGTTTTCTAGACTTGGTGACGGTCGACCGCGACGATTTTGGCGGGCGACCGCCAAACCCTGTAATCGATATTGGGTTTCTATCTTTCTAGTTTGTCGACCGCGATGATTTCTACGGTCGACCGCCAGTCAGGTCAGGCCTAATTTTTGTTTTCCAGTTCTGTTTGGGATTAATGTTTGATATAAATACAAACACATTTTAGGATTTCTGTGGATCAGTTGAAAGGGTTGTTTTGAGTACAGAAAAGAGAGTTTTTTCTAAGCTATTGGTTTAAGGTTTCTTTTTAGAGATTAGAGAGATTTGTTTGAGAGATTTGAGTGATTTTGTAATTTCTATTTGTACTCTCCCTTCTCTATTAGTGAAAACTCATCCCCTTCTAGCCTCGTGGACGTAGGAAACTTGTCAAACTACGTAAAATTCGTTTTTTTGTGTTCGTGTCGTTATTTTTGGATTGTGTTTGGCCTTCTCTCTTGGCGTTTGTGTGATTTCCTCAGAGCCTAACAAGTGGCTTTCTCTCTTGGCGTTTGTGTGATTTCCTCAGAGCCTAACAAGTGGTTTCAGCACAACAAGTGGTATTAGAGCCCATGTTATGCTTATGATTTGGTGGAGGAGTAAATCGCTTTGGAAGCTCGTCTAGAGTTTTAGTTTGTGATAAATGTGTGATTTTTTATTATTGTGGATATTGTCTTCCGTCGTGTGGGGGTGAGATCTTTCGGAGGCTATTGTTAGGGTTTCAATTGGAGGTAAAAATCTATCTTTCTCGTAGTTTGGATCTATTTTCTTTTAGTTTATTCTGCATTGGTTTATTGGTGCTTTGAGGAAGATGGCTGAGAAAGTAAAAGTTGAGGGTGGTACTTCTAGTGTGAAGATCGTCTAAAGTTTGAATATTCACTCTATGAAGATAAACATGGAGAATTTTAATAGCACTAACAATTTTGGTTTATGGAGATGTGAAGTTTTGGATGCGTTCAACGCACAGAATTTGAAAGATACTTTGGAGTTGGACGATAAGCCGAACGACATTGAAGAAAAGGTTTGGAAGAAGATGAATCGAACGGCGTGTGGTGTGATTAGGTCTAGTCTAACTCAAGATCTAAAGTATGATGTGATTAATAAGACTTCTACAAAGAAGATTTGGAAGATTCTTGAGAGCAAATATTTGACAAAGAGTATGGAGAATCGCTTGCATTTGAAGAGGAGGCTTTACCGCGTTCAGTTGAAGAAAGGAATCTCGATTAGTGATCACATGAACAACTACACGAAACTTCTTGTGGATTTGGCGAATGTGGATGTTATGATCGAAGATGAGGACAATGCATTGTTGTTGTTGAGTTCCTTGCCTGACGAGGAATATGAGACATTCATTCTTACTCTTATTAATGGAAAGACATCTCTTTTGTATAGTGAGGTCACCGCTGCTCT